AGCTAAGAGGGCCCCAAACATATACGGTTTAGTTATCAATGCTTAACTATTGTCACTTATATGTACTATAAGGAAATTATACTTGTTGCATTATATCTTAATAATTTAGGATTATTAATTTAAGCATTCTGTGTAATGACATGAAGAAAACCTGAATATGTTCATTGCACTCAGAGTGGGTTTTTATTTTATTTTATTATTTTGTTTTGTCTGGGTGGTATTCAGGTGTACTGAGTCTGAAGTACTATTTGTTTAGAAAAACGAAGCAAGTAGTTTCTTCTCTAGAAAATGGCAAGTAGAAAAAGAATGTCAAATATTGAAGTAGGATTGGCAAAGCTTTGAAATTTGGTCCTGGCATCTTCAACAATGGAGTTTAAGAAGGATTATTTTATTTTTTTTGAATCTATTTTGAGGTTGGGATAATTGCAGCTTCATAGTATTCAATGATGGTTAAATGAGATGGCAATGTGGCAAAGCACTTACTTAATGCTTTTGTACATTAAAGTCGTGGAGTCCTTCTGTAAATTATTTGTGAAATATTTTCAATGTCCTTGAACTTGGTTATATTTTGTGATGAAAAGGGAAGTGGGGTAAAACCTGGACATATAGATGCCAATTTTATGAGATCCTATGATGAGGATACAAAGTAAAACTGTCATTACGGTTACTGGAAATAATGGAATGTTCTTAAGTAAAATTTTCAGAAACTTTTTACTGCATATAGTGTAGTCAAAATTCAAGTATACTTTGAGAATTACAAACATCAAGAATATTTAGGTTGCTCTCACTTTATCATTTATCTCTAGTAAGAGAACTACATATTTTCCTTTATGTTTTGATAGTTAATTTTGATTTCACATGCACATACTTGAGAATCCTATTAGATATTATAGCAGCTTTTCTGATAATTACACTTCTACCTACTTTAGTCATATTAACCATGTATTTAAAAGATTATTAAAAACATAGTTTTATGTGAAGTAGAGAATAGTGATTTAACAAGTTTAGCCCTGAGTTTTTGCCAACAATGGCTTATTAGATTAGATACAGTTAGAAGCATGTAGTGAATCATAGAAATCTTTACTTTTAACCAACTTTTATGAAAAAAGAATACCATTTTGTTTTACCTTAGTAAGAAAACATCTATCTATATATGTATATATAACTATATGTATGTATAAGTAAATATATATGTAAATATAGCTATGTATATATGTATCCATATCACAGAAATTGCTCAGTACAAAAGAGGGGGAATGTGCTTGATCTCCCCAGTCACCAGGCATACTCCAGTCTTATTTTCTCCTAGTGATTTTCATTCCTAATAGCACACACTATAGACTCAGCATGTATCTATTCCTTAATGTATGCTAACATCATTACCTTTATTTCAGCACATATGGATTCATATTATTATTCTTTGCATGTATTATTCATTCTTTGCATGTAATACTAACTTTTCACCATTTATTTTATAATTGGTATTCCACAGAATTGTATTTTACAATTTCCTTCTAGTGCTCTTCTGAAAAAGATGCCAGGCATAGATTTGTGTTTGAACAAGTTAGATTTTTATTACTTTTTTCAGCAAGGGAGAACATACACCATGGGGAGATAGAGTCTCTCAATAAGATTTAAAAACTTGATAGTAAAGGATTGGGTTTTGTTGAGTGATTTGTGGCAGGAATTTGACCTTTCCTCTGGATTGAACACTTTTATAAGAATAGAAAATTCTCTGATTAGTATCTTAAGATTTATCTAACTGGGACTAGTGTGAAGCTCAGGCTGTAATTAAAAAAGCTGTAGTTGGTCATGTTGGTCTGATTTGGGGCCTTATTTATAGTGTTTGTTTTATTTGTGTTCAGATATCATTATGAAGTGATGCTGTTTTATTTTGGTGTATCATATTCACATAATTGCCTTATCTGCTTATATTTTTGTAAAACTGTTTGTGTCCAATAGAACAGTGTTATATGTGTTGGGCTAGCAAAAACAAAGACCTTGCTGATGTTCCCAAGATAGGTCCAGTGCTTGGTCTAGTGCTTGGGGGTCCTTTTTTTATTTCTCCATTAATAATCAGGGATGGGTTGTTAAAACAATCAATATTATTACATTTAAAATTATATATATATATATATATATATATGTGCAAGTATTCTTACAAGATAACTTTCTATAAATGGAATTAATATCAGAGTACATAAAATAAAAATGATTTATTTATCATCTCCAGAAAACCCATACTTATTTCTACCAGCAGGGCACTTCAGTCAAGAACAGATATTACTAGTCTAAGATATACCCCTATATCTCCACCCCTGCTAATGGGGAAATCTTACTTTAATTCATATATATGTATATATTACTATGTTAAATATACATTTACATATATATTAAATATATACATGTACATTTAATATAATTAGTTTATTCTATTTTTCTTTGTTAGATATCCATAATTCCATGTTTATTAAAAATTTTAAATAATCATTTTTTGTTGGATTTTTAAGGAGTTTATATGTTATAGATGTTGGTCTTGTGTTTGTGACATTTTCTCCCTACATATCTTTTACTTATGCATAGGAAAGCATATATTTACTATACTAAATTATTATAATTATTTTAGTTTTTCTTTAACACATTTGGATTGTCTTTGGAACATGCAATATGTTTATATATGATGGGAAGAGGAAAGTTAAATTTTTTTCGAAAAGATTTTTAGAGTTCCAGTACCATTTACTTATTACATTTTTTTTTAGTAGGAATACCATATTATGTTGTGAATGCTTACATAGAAATTACCCAACAGCAGAATTTGTCTTAGTTGACCTGCACTTAACTGACTGAATTAACTCAGAGTCTCTATTTCCTCTATAAACATAAGCCTGGAGACTACTGTGAGTTCACTACTAATCAGCTACTTAGATCTATGCTAATACAATTTTACTTTTAATGTTTAAATTGCAAATACTTAGATTTAAAACCTATGCCAACTCTGTGTTTTAAATTTATTTTATATGTTATTATGCAAATCAGTAAAAAAAAGAAAAGGAAAAAAAATTTAAGAAAAGTCTCTTTAAATGAAAAACTAAATTGAGTACTTTGGAAAAGCAATGGTCAGCCAGGTACAGGTACAGGCTAATGATGTAATCTTAACTACTCAGGATGTTGACTTTTTGAGACCTCATCTCAACGGCAAAAGCTGGTAAGATGAGACTCACCAAAGATCCTTGCTTTGGGAAACCTAAGTAGGAGGATGACAGTCCAGACCAACCTGAGCAAAAAAATGAGACCCTATCTCAAAAATAACCAGAGCCACCAGGCACTGGTGGCTCATACCTGTAATCCTAGCTACTCAGGAGGCTGAGTTCAAAGCCAGTCTGGGTAGGAAAGTCCATGAGATTCTTATCTCCAATAAACTACCAAGAAACTAGAAGTGGCACTGTGGCTTAAGCAGTAGAGCGCTTACCTTGAACTGAAGAGCGCCCCAGGACAGCTCCCAGACTGAGTTCAAGCCTCATGACCACCACCAACAACAAAAAATAACCAGAGCCCCAAAAAAGCCAAGGATGCAGCTTAAATGTTGAGTGCCAACAAGCACAAGGCCCTGAATTCAAACCCCAATATTGCAAAAAATGGAATACAGTACATACTAATAACCAAAATAAAAAAATCAGAGTACTTGTGGCTCACACTTATCATCCAAACTTCTTGGAATGCTGAAGATGGGAAGATCGTATTTCTGAGACAGTGTGGACAGGAAAGTCTTGAATATCCCTTCTCCTTAGAGGGAAGCTGAACTCAGTAGCATATGCCCAGCAAGTATCAGAAGCCTTAAGTAGGTGAATGGAGGCTCATGGAGGGTGAGGGGAGACAACAGTAAGACCTTATCCTAAAAATGACCAGTGAAATCCAGAGTGGGGTGGGGTGGGGTGGGGGGAGGGGTGGCTCAAGTAGTAAAACACCTGCCTAGTGTGAGACTCTGAGTTCAAACCTCCACTACTTAAATAAAAAGTAGTTACCAAAAAAAAAGTGACTAAAGACAGTGTGTATGGTTTCCATGAATTTATTAAAATAAGCACATAGATCTGATGGGTGCTAGGAGCAGGGAGTGAAACGCACAAATCAAAAATTCCTTCTGGTCATTCTCACCCTAAAGATGACCTGCATCTCATTTTCAATGCAAAACAAAAGCTAAAAGCAAAAACAAAACTTTTAAGGAAAAAGTTGTGTTGAATTGGATACAGTTTGGTGTTTTTGAGGAAGTTTATTACCTCTATAGTAAGCCTGTTTTATGTCTTGTATTTTAATGATGCATCCTATCTTAAAACTTGAAATTATGAGGTCACAGACACAATTAAACATTTGTTCACCAAGCCTAAATTGTTAATAGATTGTTTGTAGTACTTTCATTCAGCAATGGTACCTGTGTCTGCATTTAGAGCATGATGTGATATTTCTAACTTAGTGATTTTAAAATAGTGATCATTAACTCTAAAATTAAACAAAAACTAGATTATTGTACTGTATTAATTACCTTTTACTGGATGCAGGATTTAGAGTCATCTCGGTTTCTCTAGGAGTTTTGGCTCAAGGTTTCTCATGATGTTGTGATGTCAGGACTGCAGTCATTTGAAGGTTTGGTTAGGGCAGAAGAACATGTTTCAGAAATGATCCATACTCTCAGAGGTTGGTTCATGATAAGAGGCCTCATTTTCTCCTCACATAGGCATTTGCAAGTAACTGAGTACTTAATTAACTTCACAGCTTGGCAGCTTCCCTTCCTTAGTGCTAGCTAACAAAAGATAACAAATCAGAGTATGTAAAGTATTTGGTGATCTAGTCCTTACTGTATTTGTCATTTCTGACAAATACAGTAAAGGGAGTGGAATTAGGTTCAGTTCTTGAGGAAGAGAGAAACTACTAAACTGCAAATATTTATTTTCTGAGTATGGATCAGTAAAAAGGAAATAAATATATAATGTTAGACTTCTTTTTAGGACACTGCTTTAGGAAAACCACGGGAGGTGTTTCGACTTCCTACAGATTTGACAGCATATGACAATCGCCTTTGTTCATCTATCCACTTCTCATCTTCCTCGTGGGTTACATTGTCAGATGGTACTGGAAGACTGTATGTCATTGCAACAGGTGAACGTGGAAATAGTGCTTCTGAGAAATGGGAGGTAAGGATTTATTCTTTTAAAGATTTATGTAAAGTCCAGAAGATATATGCACAGTAAGGTTATTTATTTTAAAATCACATGTTTTAAGGATAATTTGCAAATGACTTCTTGGCTTATCTATTATAAATTTGTATCTCTTTAAATCATAAAAACTATACCTTTTGTAAATTGATACATTAGCCAGTTCTGAGGTCAGAGCAATCATTGAGAATTGTGTTCCATTTTAGCAAAGGTTTTGGGGTTGTGTTTATGTGTAAAACGGTGTAATAAGCATTGCCACCTTTGTGCCCTTGAAGGACGGATGACTTAAACTTACATCGGGGTCTTTTCTCCTCTGCCTGCATGTTAGGGTACTCATGTATTTACATGAGTTAATTAGCAAGTTTATTGGGCTATTTCATACTGAAAAATACATTATAAGATAAATATGTCTTTTTTAATCTCTTAAATTGCCATTTTTACTTCATTAAAAAAATTGAAGCAGATTTAAATCTAAGAGGTTAGAATGTCAGTGGTTATAAATAAAGAATTAATTTCTGTATAGAGTCAATGTCTTGAGAGTCATGGTTTTTAAATGATATTCAGTAGAATTAAATGTTTTATTTCAACTCTCTTGAATTATAAGTATATTGTAATAGTACTATAGAAATCCCAGCATTTAGCCTGAAGTGTTGAATAAAGGTAGACATACTTAATATATTTACATGTAAGAAGATTTTTTTAAAAATCAGATTGACCAATGCCTGTAAACTACCAGCCTTTAATTCTTTGAGGAAAACTATACCTGGTCATAACCTGGCTTCTGTAATTGAAACTCCCTTTTTTATAGCTACTTAATAAAAGAAATAAATATTAAACAATAAATTTAAAAAAGGAAGGAAAAGAAACTGAGAGAATTGATGAAACAAAAGGAAATCTAAAGGTGGAATTGATTAAAGGGCATAATATGGAGAAAAGAGGTCCTAGGATGGTGTTAGTATGTAAAGCCCAGGAAGAGAAATTAAGGAGATAGGATAGACTTCATTGGGGAAAGAAAAAGGAAACAATAAGCTAGCTACTTGTACATGACAGAACTTATCATTTTCTCTTCTTGCTTTTATTTTCTACTGTTCCCCAAACAAAAGGAAAACTCAGTCAACCAATTCAAAACTTGTCTTCATCTGTCATTTCAGTTTTCAGTATTTAAGAGTTTTCTTGTTTTTTTTTTTTTGTTTTACTTATGGAAATCTTTCAAGTGAGCCTACTATTTGAATAATTTTGGTAGAATTTTTTTTTTTTTTTTTTTGTCGTGGAGCTTAAACTCTGGGCTTGGGGGCTATTCCTCAGTTCTTCAGCTCAAAGCGAGCACCACTTGAACCACAGCACCACTTGAACCACAGCACCACTTCCCATTTTCTAGTGGTTTATTGGAGATAAGAGTCTCACGGACTTTCCTGCCCAGGCTGGCTTTGAACCGGGATCCTCAGATCTCAGCCTCCTGAGTAGCTAAGAGATTATAGGCGTGAGCCACCGGTGCCTGGCTAGAAGTGTTTTTAGCTGTTTGGAAGTCTGAAATTGACTTCAAATTGTACTTTGAGGCCAGCTCAAAATATAGAGACCCTGCCCCCCCATCTCCTCCACTAGTTTGGAGGTATATGCCTATCATTTTAGCTACATGGGAATCATTAAAAGGAAGTAATTTCTAAGTTTCTTTGGATTAGATCACTATTTTATACCCAATTAACCAGTAATTTTGGTCCTCAAGGCATAAATAGATCCTATCGCAAAAATAACTAAAGAGAAAAAAACTTGGGGCCTGTCACATGTAGTAGAGAGCCTGCTTATCAAATAGAAGACACTGAGATCAACTCAGTAAAAACAAAAAAAAAATGTTTTTTACTTCTTTGAAAATCTTATTAAAGAATCATGATAGTCATATAAGGAAAATTCCATAGGATTCTGTGTGTCTTTAACTTGGCTTTTGGTGGGCAACTTCACCATCATATTTTAGCCACTACCAGTAACACACACACACACACACACACAAACACACACACACACACATACACACACACACACACACACCACACACACACACAGTTTGTATTTTAGTTACCTTTAAATGTGTGAGCTCTTTGGCTTTTGAAATTAAGAAATTTTAGTGATTTTTTTTCCCCTGATTACATGTTACTTTTATAAAGTTCTGGAAAATATAAAGGAAAACAAATAAAAAGCATAAGAAGAAGGCTTACATGCATAGGAATGCCAGCTGCACACAGTAATAAATCCTGTATGAGATGGTGAAGAGACAGTGAGCATTGCCCTGCCCATGCCCTCTCTTTTTACGTATAGATAGTTTTTCCTCTTGATATTTTTTTTTTATCAAGGTTGCTTTTAGCTTGTTTTTTCTCTTTTAGAATCCCTGTTTTGTTTTTAAGCCAAGAGAATGAACTAGTTTGCTTGGTTGTACAGTTGTCTTTTAAGTTCTTTCTGTAGAGAGCATTATTTAAACTTGTAGTCTGCTTTTACAAGCTTAAAAAAGACTGAATTCCTTCTAATAAAAAATATTTATGTCTTTTATATATTTCCTCTGTTATCACTGTTCATATATGGCCATTTTGGTGTGTGTGTATGTGTGATTTTATTATAGATTATGTTTAATGAAGAGCTGGGGGATCCCTTTATTATAGTTCACAGCATCTCATTGCTGAAACCTGAAGAACATTCAATAGCTACCCTACTTCTTCGAATAGAGAAAGAGGAATCGGATTTCAAAGGAAGTGGTTTTTATGTTTCTTTGGAGTGGGTCACTATCAGTAAGAAAAATAAAGGTAAAATAAAATTCTGAATCTCTCTCTCTGTCTCTTTCTCTCTCTCTCACTTTTCTTTCTCTCTAATGTATGTCATCATTAGTAGGTTTTGGAAATTTGAATTAAGCCTAAGTGTTCTGAGATACTCATCTCCATTTAACCAGCAAAAATAGCATACTGGAGGTATGACTCAAATGGTACAGTGTAATCTGTGAGTAAGTAAGTTGAGGAAGAGCATAAGGCCCGGAGTTCAACTGGCACAAAAAGTAAAATATTTAAAAAAAAATTACAGACTTATTTTTAGAAAATTAGGTTGTAATGTTTTTATTCTTAGGAAAAGAGTATAAATGTGTCTTTTAGTAATATACTTAGAATACTTAAGTATGATTACAACTAATATTCAAATCTTTTTAGACTTTTTATTTAATGTAAAATATTTTCTTACAGATAATGAAAAATATGAAATTACTAAGCGTGACATTCTCCACGGGAAGTCAGTGCCACATTACGCTGCTATTGAGCCCAATGGAAATGGTCTGATGATTGTCTCCTACAAGTCTTTCAAATTTGTTCAGGCTGGTCATGATCTTGAAGAAACTATGGAAGAAGACATGCCAGAGAAAATCAAAGGTGGTTTTACTTTATTCTTCATAGATTAAAGTGATATTCATTTTAGTTTTTTTCTTCCTAATTAGGGGTAGGCTTTTACCAGGTCAGGACAGATGACTAATATTTTTTTTTTGTATTCCCTTCCTCCTTTTTTTTTTTGTAAAAAAATAGTTCACCAAAATATTGTGAAAATTTAATAATTTTATAGTTTGTTTGTTTGTTGGTCGTGGGGCTTGAACTCGGCCGGGACGCTGTCCCTCAGTTCTTCAGTTCAAGGCTAGCGCTTTACCACTTGAGCCACAGCACTACTTCCATTTTCTGAGTGGTTTATTGGAGATAAGAGTCTCATGGACATTCCTGTCTGGGCTGGCTTTGAACTGTGATCCTCAGATCTCAGCCTCCTGAGTAGCTAGGGTTACAGGCATGAGCCATTGGCACCCTGCTTCAAAGATTGTTTTTAAAAAATGATCTGTGTATTAGCTAACTTGATTCTTTATTTTACACTTACCATGTAACTGAATAATACCAGTTATATTGGCACTTTGAAGCCAGTATATCATACTGAATACTTGTAGACAATAAGACTGATGCACATGTTCTTAACCTTCATGTTAAGCTGAAAATAAGTTTCTTCAGACAGAACCACTCAGTTTTTTAATGTTAAATCAATGAGTAAAGATCATGTTTTAGAATGAAAAGCTTAACAAGGTCTTTCAGAAAAAAAATTGTATATGAAGAGTATGAATTCTATTAAAGTTCTTCAAAAGAATATTGTCTCAAAAATCACTGATGTTTATAGCCAAACTGATATAATTTATAAGATTTTTAGTATTTACAATTATACATACTCTGTAAACTAACCTTTTTATTAATATTGATATTGAAACAAATTTGCTTCACTGTTTTGTACTTTTTGTTTTTGGTTCCTGTCCTGGGGTTTGAACTCAGTACCTGGACACTGTCCCTGAGCTTTTTAGCTCAATAGTAACACTCCACTAGTTGAGCATCAGCTCCATTTCCAGTTTTTATTTTTTGAGGGAAAGGATAGTTAATCGGAAGTAAGTATCTCACAGACTTTCCTGCCTGGACTGGCTTTGAACTGTGACCCTCAGATCTCAGTCTCCTGAATAGCTGGAATTACAGGTGTAAGCCATTGGCACCTAGCTTCCATAACTCTTTATACTGAAAGCTTGTGTGACTTTCCAGTCCTTGATGCGTTTTCTGGCAGAAGTTATCCACTGGGTTATTATTATGTATAAATCACTTTGCTTTCTTTTCAGGGAAATACATCATATTCTTGTTCAGCAAAGAATTAGTGTGTGTGTGTGTGTGTGTGTGTGTGTGTGTGCGCGTGCACGCACATGTGTATGTGTGTATGTGTTGGGAAAGAGAGAATATAAGGACCAAAGAAAAGATTGTTGTCAGTAGTATTTTGTGACTGGTCATTTCCTAGAGGAATAGGTAAGCTTGGAAGCTGAAAATGTTAAATTTAATTGCTTCAACTTTTCCAGTGAAAATTCCCCAAGGAAATTATATATTTGCTTATGCTTATTTTTTTCTGTGAGATTATCTCTACAAAGCATGCTGAGATTATTTAATAGATTATTAAATAGATGTTCTTTCATATCTTCTGGGCTCTAATTTTATATATTGTTGTTCATTTTGATTATATAATTCATCTCCCTCCTCACCTCTAGAACCTCTGTATTACTGGCAACAGAGTGAAGACGATTTGACAGTAACAGTGCGGCTTCCCGAAGACAGTACTAAGGAAGACGTTCAAGTACAATTTTTGCCTGATAACATCAGCATCATGCTGAAGGGTCTCCAAATTTTAGAAGGAAAACTATTTTCATCTGTTGATCATGAAAGCAGTACATGGATAATTAAAGAGAATAATAGGTATTTTAATAGTTTTATATTTGAAATTTTAGGTTAATCTTTTTGTCTTGTTATTTTTTCCATACCAGTGGGGCATCAAAGATGAATACAGTACTTTTGTCTCTTCCTCATTAATTTTCTTTTTTTCTTTTATCTTTTTGGTTGGTCATGGGCTTGAACTCTGTGCCTGGGCACTATCTCTGAGCTCAGCACCACTTCTGGTTTGCTGGTAGTTAAATTTTTTGGTGGATAAGAGTCTTAAGATTGATTAAAAATGTAATAACTACATGGAACAACTTAACTGTAGTTAAGATTAATGATACTAGCGTAGTTATCACTTGTAGGACATAGTATTACTTTTCATTTACCGTCTCTAAAGATAAGTGATATAGGAATAACAGAGTATGAAAATGGCTATTTTAATTTGAACTCTTAACTTTCTCTACCAAGTATAAATTATTTACTAAATAATAGATTCTCATTTTTATAAACTTAAAGCGTATAGAAGAATAGAGCTAGAAACCTCCCTCCAAGTCTGCCTCAACATTCATCCACAGCTGTTTTGTTTCTTTTCAGAGTATTTCATGTATATTCTAGCACCATGCTTTTTTCTTCCTTTTTAAGAGAAAAGATTTGAAAAATACTGTACCCATCATTACACCTTTCTTCTCTTTTTTTTTCTTTTCTTTTTTGGTACTGGGGATCAAACCCAGGATGATGCACTTGCTATGCAAGCACTTTGCCACTAAGCTAGATCCCAGCCCTATATCTTGTTTTTATTCATTTTCAAGAGTAAATCTTTGAATTAACAATAGATTTTTTAATATTGTTAATAGTTTTAGTCTGTTGATTGAAGCATCATTTAAAAATACTGTCCCTCTAATCGAACAAATAAGTTAATTATTTCAAATCTTTTGCCACTGTAAATAACTACATATCATTTTTCATATGCAGAAATAAATAGGAATGATACATTTCTACTTGTGGAATAATATTTATTTCATAATTTTGTTAAATAATTTTGTTTCAATGTAAATTGGTCATTTATATTTATTTTATTGTTTGCATGTTTAGGGTACAATAAGCCAAAAAAAAAACCAAGAAATATATGATAAATTATACTTCATCCAAAAGTTTTCTGCACCTCATGACTGAAAATGTCTGCTCTCTTAAATAAGATACCTTAAGAAAAACCATAAAGATAAACATAGACTGAAGAAAATATTCTCAGTACTCTGATAAAGTATTTTCATTCTCAGTGTGTAAGGATTTCTACAAATTCATAATAAAAGACAACTCAGCTTTAGAACTGATCAAATGATTTGAATAGACATATGACAATAGAAATCAAATGAATATCTAGTAAGCATATGAAAAGTAATTAATCTTTAGGAAAATTAAAGCCAGGATGAGGTATCTAAAATTAACAAGGGAGGTAGTATCGAATCTTGGGGAATCTGGAACCACAAACAACATAAGCATAGCTACTGTGAAATAAAATAATATAGTTACTTTGGCAAATTGTTTAACAGTTTTTTTTTTGCCAAATTAAACATATACATACTTGGTAGCCTATCCATTCTGTCTATTCTTCTCACTATTTCCCAATGACAAAATGAAGATATACATTGAAAAACTAAATAAGGCCAAAATTTTTATAAAAACTATTCATTGTACAGTATTTTTCACAATAAAAACTTACAGATAAAACTATATTCATAGTGGCTTTACTTGAAAAACCACTAACTACACACAATTCTAATGATCATGGAAAATGTGAATAGATAAAGTGGTATGTTTGTGTAATGAAATGCTACTCTGTAAAGAAAGAACTAACTACAGCTAAACAGCCATATAAATTAATCAAAAGCATGTGGCATACATAGAAATCAGAGCCCCAAATTACATATTTTGTAATTTCACATATACAGAATTATAGACTGGCAAAAGTAGTCAGTGGTGATACAAAATTCAACAGTTTACTGTGTAAGGAGTAGGGGGATTGTTTAGAAGAGAATAAAAAGGAACGTAACTACTTCCTTGGAATTATTTGAGTATATGTGTTTATTAGCTAATTTATGAATTCTGTTTAAAGTTGTCCAGTAAAAGAAATAGAAGTTTGTTTATAAATAAAAGTCAAATGTCTATGAAACTTTAAAGTTTTAAGCACTTGTGAAACTTTAATAATCTGAGTTTACTGCCATGTTTCTTTGCAAGACTGTTGTTCAAAACACTTTACTCCTCAATGTTGACTTTCATTATTATTATTAAACTATAGGTGGTTAAAACAGTATTAGGCACTTAATTTTTTCAGTTTTATTTGGTTGATTTATGTTAATGTTGCATAAGGTTATTAGCTATTTTTATATAAAATAGTTCTGGATTTATAGTAGAAAACTAATGTGAGTCTGAGTCTTAACTCATGGAATTCTAAAAAACAAATACCCTGTTCAAAGAAAATTAAAGTTTTAAAAGGTGTTAGAGCATTTGATGATGAAGTTATATTTTCTGATATGAAAAATAATTTTCTGAAAGTTTCCTGAAAAGATATTTTAGAGTTGGAAGTGTGACGAGCATTTCTTTTATCATTTCAAGGTCCTGAGTTCAGAACCCCTATACATTATCATCACATACTCTGTTTAATCATATTTATGAAAACAAGTAGAACATGTTTAAATATATGTTACCAAGCAGCTAAAGATCTCTTGTAGACCAGCCAGAGGTCTATGGTAATAACTAGACATCATATAGTAATTTCAGCCCAATATTCTTTTAGTAACTTTAAGGTATTCAATTACTGTTCTGTGTTATAAAAATAATTACAGTGATATGTAAGTGGTAAGTGGCTTAAAATTGTTTTTTTTGTACTTGAAAATATGATTACTTTTGATTTCAAATATTTAATATTCTTTAGAAGGATTTTGTTTAGTAGTATGTAGTTTATAATATATATTACTGTTCGATCTTTCTTGGACACTAGTGGTCTAGTTTTAAAATATAGATATGCATGTCAAAAAAGCTACAGTGCCTCGGTTGGCAAAATAATGATGGTTCAGAAATTCATCAAAACTAAAATTGTATATACTCTTAATTTTTTAATTTAATTTTATTGTCAAGATGATGTACAGATGGGCTACAGTTACATACGTAAGATAGGGAGTGCATTTTTGGTCAAACTTGTTAACCCCTCCCTCATTTTTCTCCCACCTTCCCTCCTCCCCACCTCCCCTACCTAATACTGCCAAAGGCTCTCTACAAATTCAGTGCGACACCCATCAATATCTCAACTTTGTTCTTTAATCAAATAGAGAAAGCAATCAAAAATATATATGGAATAATAAAAGACCTTGAATAACATAAACAATCTTTAACAAGAACAGTGCTGGAAGAAAATCAATACAAAACTTCAAACTATTACAAAGCTAAAGTAATAAAAACAACTTGGTACTAGAACAAGAACAGGCCTGAGGACCAAAGAAATAGAATTCAAGACCTAGAAATGAACCCGCAGACCTAATCTTTGATAAAGGACCAAAAAAATAGAATGGAAGAAAGACAGCCTCTTTAACAAATGCTGCTGGCATAATTAGTTAAACACCTGTAGAAAACTAAAGTTAGATCCTTATAAATCATTCTACATCAGATTTCTTAAGATAGCAACTGGGAATGTGTATATACATTCAAGTCTCCTAGTAGAAGTTCTTTAATGGTTATTTACATTTTTTTTTTTTTTTAGAGAAACAGAATAGTGCAGTAGTGAAAAACATGGATTGGAATCAGACTGCATTACTAGCTTCTAAACTTGTCAAGTTACTTAATCTCTTTGTGCTTTTTTCCCCTTGCTTATAAATTGAATATGTCAGTAGTACTTATTTATTTGGTTATGGTAAGCAATACATGAGTTAAAATATATAAAGCATTTAAAACAGTACCTGTCATGGGGTAAAGCAATAAGTATGAGCTGCAGTCTTTATTTTTCTTTTCATTATCTTCATCGTCAAGACTAGCCTATTCCTTGGAAAATAGTGAAATAGGGTATTTCATAATAGTGATGATAATTTTCATTACTTATGTGATAGGAACTTACATAAGCAATACCATTTTGTATGGTTTCCTAAAATAAGTAGTCAGAAAAATGTTAAAATGATGCAATTAATTCATGAGGTGGTGACAATAACCACCTTGAAAAAGAATGGTTAACATATTCTATTTGATAATGATGATAATAGCTATTATTATACTCTGGCAGTTGTTTGCTTGCAGTTGTGTTTGAGGTGATGGTTAGCATGGTTCACCTGTAACAAAAGATGGCATATGGAAAAGTTTATGTGGCTATAGAAGAACCACTACCCCACTTTCTCTGTTAGAGCAGACGCTATTCATAAGGCATTATACTTGATTTTCCCATCTTCCAAAGGAACATGAGCTGCTTCCTTCTTCCTGTATCTAATATGATCTGTTCTGACTTTTTTGTCACTCTTTCCCGCCTCATCAATTCTTGATCTCAGTTTATTTTCAGGCCCTTCAGAACATATTCAAAATTTCATCTTAATGACCTAAATGTACAGAATTTTCAAATAAAGTAATAGAGACATTACTATCATTGTGTGTTTGTTCCAAAACTAATTTCCCCCTAATACCTATCTTTTTTTTTCAGTTCTTTAAAATCTACATTTTGGAAATTAACAAGTTGATTGAACCTGATGGATATTTTCAATAAAAATTATATATTATGACTATTTGTAAAAGTAAAGTTAATTGTTGGGTTCATACCCAAAGAGATCTCCTGTATTTGTGGCCCTTCCCTTGCTTTACACCACTGTACCTATGCTGCTTGTAATTCCATCACTGGACTACAGCAATTCTTTCTAGTGGTCTTCCTCTTGGCCTTTCTAGTCACTAACTTCTTTATGCCATATTTGGTGCACCATTTCTAGTGGAACTTTGATATATGCTATTAGCCTTGAATTAGAGATTTACTATCACAAAGCTAAAATGAACATATTTGAGATTCCAGCTACTTAATGTCTGTAGGAAGTCCTTCTATTTATTGATTGTATAATTTATGTAGTTGGTGAAAGTAACATCACTTTTTTTATTTAAACTTTTAGCTTGGAGATTTCCTTGATTAAGAAGAATGAAGGACTCACATGGCCAGAGCTAGTGGTTGGTGATAAACAGGGGGAACTTTTAAGAGACGCAGCCCAGTGTGCTGTAATTGCTGAGCGTTTGATGCATTTGACTTCTGAGGAACTGGTAAATAGTAGCAATAGTAGTGTGACTTTCCAATAATTCAAAAGTATTTAAGAGAATTGTGCCATGTTTCTAACATGATTTTGCCTTTCCTAATATAAAAGAGATCAGTTACTATTGATGCGATTAATATTATAAAATGGTGTAGAGTTCTAATATTTCTTGTACTGTGTGAATGCACACGTATGTCTGGGCATATTGTATGCATGTATTTATGCATCTCTTTACATATATTCTTCTTTAGAAGAAACAAGAAGCCAGTAGTGACAGAAAAAATTATAATTTTGCCTTATATGTTAATACTCTCATCATTGAAATTTTCTAGGTGACTTTAGAATATCAAAGATTTACACGTAAATCATACATAACATGTCTTCTTTTTGATAATGTTATTGCACATAGTGCCTATTCATATATGAGGCTGAAAATGTTCCCATGTTCATGACTTGGAAGATCATGTTGTGAACCTGAGCAAATACAATATTCTAGAATGTCAGTTATGTGTTCATTTTCCAAAAAATTATAGTAGATATATAAAAATGACTTACTGAACATGATATTAGCATATATTATTGCCATCTTGAATTGTAAAGATGAAGAATATTTTTCCTTAGTAAATGATAAAATAGATTGTAAATGCATTTGTAGTGAAGATATGGCTAAAGAAACCAGGGTTGTATTTGTTGGCATTAATTAAAAATTTCAGAAAGCACTGAATTTATATGTAACAGTACTTTCATTTCTTAATAATGTAGGCCTCGTCCTATGTTTATTCAGTTAGCAAATATTTAGTATTGTAAGCGCTGAGAGTATAATAATTTTGACACTAGCAGAGACTTGATTTTCGATTATAGATTTTTCTTTTTCTTTCATCTTTTTTTAGTAAGTTTTTGTTTGGCAGGGATTTTTTTTTTGTGAAAATACTGTACAAGGGGTTACAATTACATGGGCAAGATAATGAGTACATTTCTTATCAAGCATTGTAGCCTCCTCCTTTGTTTCCCCTTCCCATCCTGGCAGGGATTTTTTGTTGTTGCTTTGCTTTGTTGAGTATTGACCAAAGAGTCTTTCAGGTTACTTTATTAAGTTCTAAGTAACTGACTGTATTTTGATAAACTAGGTATGTGAACATTTGTTTAGTGAATTCTATTATGTGTAAGTGTATTTATAATTTATTGCTTAATTATCATGATCTTATTACTCTGCTAGCTTCTTGCATTTAAACAAGGGAGCATAATCAAATTATTTTATAACTCATGTATCTGTTTTTGGCTTATTAGCTGTGTTTATGTATATGTGACAGTGGATTTTGTAAACTATGCATATGTATCATCATCTTCAAAAACTATGTTATTTCACTTATAATTTAAGAACTTTAAAATGGTATTTCTATTGTTCCATGTTTCATTTTAATATTGTTACATTTCCATGTTATAAAGATACAGCACATTAGTTTTTTAGCTTTAGCCAGTTCTTTTTTAAAGAGAATAAAAATAAGAAAAAAATTGATTTGCATATTTGTCATTTTCTCTTACATTTTTTAATATTTGGATGGATATTCATTTAACATTTTTCCTCCTTGAGTAAGTTACTGTAGCAAGGTATAATGTAGGTCTGCTGGTAATATTAATTCTCAACATATTTTTGTTTTACTTTTAATGTCTTTGAGTATATCAGATGTCTATTCATGTTTTTTCTCTGTTGGCTCAATTATTGTGATATCTCTGTTTTTGTTGATACTGTTTTATTAGACAAGGGTCTGAATTAATTTTGTTGTTGTAATCATAGCATTTCTAAGAATGAATAAATCTATTTCCTTGTTGTTTGTTTTGCTTATTATTTGTTTTGTTTTGTTTTTTTGTTGGTTTAAGAATCCAAATCCAGATAAAGAAAAACCTCCTTGTAATGCTCAAGAGTTAGAAGAATGTGATATTTTCTTTGAAGAGAGTTCTAGTTTATGCAGATTTGATGGCAGTTCATTGAAAACTACTCATGTGGTAAGTTCTTACTAATTCTGGAAATCAGTGGGTAATGGAAATGATAATTTAAGGACAGATAAATGTTTTATAAAATTATCTTGATTGGACCCAAATGTAGTAGAGTACACAGCCCTTGAGAAGAGGGAGGAGGAGGATCATTAAGTTTGAAGCTAACCTGGGCTTCATAGCCAGTTCTAGACCAGACTGGGCTACATAGGAAATCCTGTCTCCATCAATCAATCAGTCAATCAATAAATGTTGGATTAGTAGTTATTGCTTGTGATAAGTCTTATTACTCAGTGAGGAACCATCAGTCCATACTAGTAATCCATACCATGAAATACATCAAACACAATAAAACGAAGTTAGATTGTTTAAGTAATATTTCATATTAATACTGTTTAGCTAGCTTTTTTCCTGTGCCATTCTTTTTCACACAGTATGACCATGTAAATGTATATTAACTTTCTATCTACTTTTTTCACTGAACATTAGTACAATTCCCCATGTTATTCAACTCCTGGTTAAATTGACTGTACTATAGTTCTTGGGAGCTGTTTGTTGGTTCTATACCTTATACCATTTTTCCTTAAAAATGTTATAACTGTATTATTTACAATCCTGTTATTTTTAAAAATCCCTTTTTAGGTGTAGCACTATTTAATGTAGAGTTACAGAAGTCCAATAGTACAGACTACCTTTGATGAACAGATATCTACTTTAGGTTCTCATTTGTAACATCTTGACTAATTTCCTGTTTCACTGCAGCATTACCTTCACCTTTGGTTTTCTGTTTGATCTTTACTAATTGGTGGTCAAGATGTAGAATCTTATTTTAAATTATATATTTTCTAACTTTTCACAAATTTGTATATTATTTCTTTTGCAAATAATATTTTTCTATTTGTGTTTCTTACTAATTTTTTTGACCAGTTTCAAAAATTACCATTTTGGAATATTTTTTACTCAGTTTCTTAAACCAGTTGGGATTTTTTTCTCCTACTGTCTGGTATGTCATATGTGTATAATTGCTTCCCTCAGAATTGCATTCTGCTTAAAAGCCTTGGGAAATGTGTACTAGTATGAATGTTGCCTGGCGTGGCTTGGTGTCACTCTACTCCAGGGTTTAGTCCTCAGCTTTATAGATTATAAAACAATACAGGAACTTGATTTACCAAATCTTAAGTTCCAACCCAACATTATATTGATTAAAAGAAAATCTCTAAGCCAGTGGCTCATGCCTATAATCTCAGCAACTCAAAAAGCTAAGATTTGAGGATTGCAGTTTCAAGCCAGCCCACGCAGGAAATTCCATGAGACTCTTAACCTTTAATTAGCCACACAAAGTAGGGGCACAGCTCAAGTGGTAGAAAAACCTAAGGGATAGCACCCATGCCTTGAGTTCCACCCCAGTAGCCTCCCCCACCACACACACACACACACAGTGAGTCTTAACTGTTCCTCTCATTATAAATTTTTCCTTCCCTCCTTTTTTTCTCCTCTTCATGATACCTTGTTTTTTTGTATTTAACAGCTTTCTCTAGTCTTAGGAATTAAGACTCTCCTTAATGACTTTATTTCAGCTGAATTAGTCTTTGAAGGTCTCTTTCCACATATGAATTTAAGGGTATTCAATTCAAACATAAGAATATTTTCACTTAGATTTTATTAGTGTTTAGTCTTTTGTGACATTTATATCTTCTTTTTACTGAGGTATTTAGGAATGAGTTGCACATACAGTTTCTCTTTACCTCCACCAATTTGCTTATATGCTAAAAATGAAGGGATTATTTTTTAATTTTATTTGTTTTCTTATTTATGTGGTATGGAGGAATTGAATCTAGAGCCTCATGCATGCTAGCTAAGCAATCTGCCACTCAGCCACATTCCCAGCAGGAGATTATTTTATATAACCACATACAATTTAACATGTAACACTTCAGACTTTATATTCAAATTTTACCAGTGGGTCAAAAAAGGAACAAATTTTGAGCAAATTTTGTTTCTGATTCAGGATCTTACCCAATGTCTCATACCACATTAAGCTTTGGTGTCTCTTTAGTCTCCATTTTGAAATAGCCACTGACTCATCCTTTTGATGATAACTTCATTTTGTAGCTTTTATATACTATCTCTCAATTTATAATCCTATAGAATTCCCTCATCAGATTCAATGCAATTTTGATAGAAATTCCACATAGTGATTCTTTTGGAGTATATGTCATTAGATGAGATTAGGTATAATTTTGCCTCTGTTTTTGTGGTGTCAGATTTGATTATATACTATTTACCAATTTTTCTACTTTGAAGTTATTTTCCCTTGAATTAATAATAAGTAGTTTTATGATCAAAGCAACCCTTTTAAAGGTCTTAATAAATTATATAATTTTTCTATTTCTATCTTCCCTATGAAGCTTCTATGTGTCATATTAAGATTAATGCCCAATGTCCTTACTGTGGTCAATGGGAGGTCTTTAAATATTTCTATAATTTTTCTAGGTAGTGATACATTATAAATTGAGACAACACGCATATACACACATACACACACTCGGGATATAGGTGTCTGATGGAAAAATTCTACAAAGCGGAATGACCCTTACTATGTGAATATTATTGTAAATAATATTCATTGTTAATAAAAATGAAAATTGTTTTTTACATACTTTTTTTATTCTATTGATTTTATTGTTGGGACTCATGATTTAGAAATCACTGGCATGCTGTCCTGATTGCCGTTTATTTTCTACCCATTTCTTTGAGTCATTTTCTTTAGCTACACTGGCCTTCATGCCATTCCCCAGATTATTAACATGCTCTTCCCCAGGACTCTTAACATTCCTTCTTTCCTTGCCTGAAATACTCGGACTTTTGCACTATTCTCTTACCTTACTCAGTTCTCAGTTCAAAAACTATGTTGTATCCTCTGTTAACCTAGATAACGTGCAACCACATTATCTGTCTTCTCAACTACTTCCTCTTCCTTTTTTCTGTTAGCACTTTTTCTTGATAGGTATTTTTGTTATTTGTTATACTTATGTGTATCTGCCAATATACATTATTGGTCATTGAAAGTTGGTATCATTATGATACATTATAATTTCAATTTGATATTTTTTAAGCTGCAAAAAATATTCCTTTCCCCACATGTTTGTAGAGGTTACTGTCTTGAGTTTTTGTAAACTTAAAAATCAGTTTGTTTCCATCAATTGTATTTTATGCTTTTCAGCTAATACCTTATGTCTTCCAAAGATCCAGTCAGCTAAAGATAACTTTAATTGTATAGATAATTAATAAGTGTTCAAATACTGCACTAGTGGAGTATCACATCTGAAATAGTGCCTAGCCACAGACATTTAATATTTATTATAGACAGTTAAATAGTTGCTTAATAGTTATTATAAAGTAGGCCTTGGGAGAGAACATAGTCTGATAATGAAGAACATGAGTTTGGAAGCACATTTAAATTTAAATTTCAGTCACTACTTGTTAGTGACTTAAGTATCTCATGAGACTTACTTTCATCTTATGTAAGATGGATACTTCTAATTCTTAGGTAGCAAACATTAAATAAGATAGTAAATTCTTTATACATACCTACATGTGTACATGTGTATATGTGTGCACATACATATGTGTATGGGTGTGTGTATATATACACAGATGTGTATATGTATATATAGTATAAAGAATATATAATTTTAATAATGCATTCTATATGGGATTTTGAAACTGTGAATTTGAAACTGGTTTCAATCTTGCCTTCTAACAAATATCTTAATTCTGAATAGAACTTTTTAAATTAATTTGGTAGTACCAGTTATTAAAGATTGCTTAAATGTCTTCACTCTGACATTTAATCTTCTGAAGTCTGTAATTACGAGATGTTCCACCAAGAAATTTAAGAGTCAGTTGACTACTTGAAATGCATGTTTCAGATTTTCTGTAGTGACTGGCTTACTATAATTGTAGTTTTCACCAGTACTTCAAAGATACATATGACCTTTTCTATAATAAACATGAACATAGAATGAATGTGGAATTAGATCTTACTGGTTTATGAATTTGTGTTGTTTTAAACCATTCATTTTGGCATCAGTGAGGTTTGTTCAGATCAATTAACTTTTCTCTGTCAAATATGACAACTATATTCAAAGCCATTTCTTCACTCTTGGAATCTTACTAGACTTGTTTTGGTTGCTCAGTATTTTATATGGAACATTCTGCAAAGAATTTTTTTGATGCTTGTGTGTCTTCACTGTGACCATCAGTTAAAACTTGCTGTGCATCTCTAATAATGTATAGAAGCATTTGTCCCTACAGTAAGTAGCCTAAGCCTGCTGGATTTTCAGAATTTATTGTTAGTATTCATTTTACTACTTATGAACTATTGGCTACTGCTTCTTAACTTCGATGTATTGTTGCCCAGAGCAGCCATCCATTTCTTTCTTATTTGTAGTCTTTATTTTGCTCTTGGCTATCAAGTTTTAAAGTCAACGAAATTTTGTTCACACCAAAATACATAATTCTCTAGTGAAGGAAACTTTGATGTGTATGTTCTTGTTTGTTTATTTTTGGTAGGACTAATGGATGAATCAATATTCTTGGACATGGTAGACAGCTACACTCCATTTTTGTGGCACCTGTTCTTGACTCAAAAACTTTTTAAACATCTCCTTGTTTCTTTCAGGTGATTGTCCCAGTAGATAATGGATGTCTCATTTCTGTTTAGTCCACTTCAGATTTAACATAGTATCTCCCTGCTTTTCAAATATTTCTTCTATTGTTATTTTCTGTCTTTGAAGGACCATACAAAAGAACACATTTATGCTTTTTAGTTATCATTCATTCTTATTTATTTAATTCTGATTTGCTTTTCATTTGGCTGTAATTTGGTAGTCTCGAGTTTTTTGTGATTGCAGATAACAGAAAACCTTTGCCACCTTCAAGTGTTGTAAGTTAGCATATGTTGGGATTGTAGGCAACAGTGGAAACTAAATTTTTTCAGATCTTAGGAAGAACTAAAGTTGTTCTGGGAATGCATTGGAAGTCAGGCTTAAAGACATAAACATTTTTAGATAATAGGACATAGTTTTGATGTCTGATTTGGGAATTAGATGCCCTTGCCTTCTTCTGTCTCAGTGCTTTGCCATTATCATATTGACATCCTCTGTATTTGCTTCTACTGAGCAGAAGTAACTGCTCTCTTACTTTACAAATGATGTCATGGTTTCTGCTTACTTTACTCTCTTGTTATGTCTTCTACCTTGCTTTTGAACATTTGAATTGAATGTTTTGGCATGTAGACTTCCCGAAGAAGAGGATTTTTTGTCTTGGCCAACATCCTTCAAGAAGACAAGGAACCTGTGGGAGAGAGCTTCAGTCTGATTGTTTATGTTGTATGTCAGTGGATGAAAGATGATAGCTTTTATATTTGAAGCCCACGGTCTGTCAGCAGAAGTTAGGGAATGGAATCCTCTAGTATATAATTTGCTTGATATGGAACTTCTTACATAGTTTGCTAATATTTTAGACTTTATGCAGGTTATAGTTATCAGTGCACCAAGAATGCCAGGGGATGAGAGTAGTTTTATCCCATTGAAGAAAATCCTCTACCAACTCAGTTGCTTTCAGAGTACAATATGAGTACACTGGAAGAATTGAAGCTATTAATGCACTGAAGCTACTCATAGTAACAAACAAATACAAATCCTGTTTCAATCAATCCCTAACACTAATGACCTAAGTAGAAGTATGTTCATTCCTAGACATAAATACAACTTATTTCATAATCTATTTGACACATAAAGTCCATTATTCAATAAAAAAACTACAAGACACAACAAAGAAAAAAGTAAAGCATCCCATTGAGAAGAAACAAACAAACTAGATTCAGAAATGACCCATGTTCTTAGACTATGAAATGGTCAATTTAAAGTAACTGTGATATGGTTGACATGTTAAGGGCACAGTGGAAAAGATAAATGAATATGTACTATATTTTAATAAAGATAAAAATTGCAAACAAATAAAATTAAAAAATTAAAAACATAGCAAAAGATGACAAATGTTTGCAGCAAACTGATGAGCATTCCCTCTATCTATGAGAAAAGAAAAAGTTACCTTGGAAACAGGTTGTTAAAAATTGCAAGAACTGAAATAGATTACATAGATAGGTAATATATACACAAATATCCACATACACACACACATACACACACACACACACCACACACACACATATATAATACACGCATACATACATATATATATAGAAGTATACCATCCAAGAGCAGCAAGACAATAACAAATGGGCTTATATATAATTATTTGGCATCCCAGAACTATGAATCATTCAGTAAAATAGACTATGCTCTGGGTCATAGAAACGTTTAAATGTTCTTCGGTCATAAGATAATTAAATAAGAACAAAAATACCCCCCAAAATTCTAAATATATGGAAATTGACACATTTCTCATTAGCCCACAGGTCACAGAACTCACAAAGAAAGAATTTAGTATTGAATGAAAATGAAACACAGGGGCAGGCACTGATGGATCATGTCTGTAATCCTAACTACTCAGGAGGCTGAGGATCACAGTTCAAAGCCATCCTGGGCAGGAAAATCCATGAGATTCTTACTGCCAGTTAGGCACCAGAAAATCAGAAATGTCACTGTGGCTCAAAGTGGTGGAGTGTTAGTCTTGAGCAAAAGAGCCTAAGGACAGCACTTAGGCCCTGAGTTCAAACCCCATGACTGACAAAAAAAGAAACACAGCACATGTGGGATGCAATGTAGTGGTGAGAAGAAAATGTATAGCATTATATGTTAGAAAACTATCTCCATTTAATCATTTAGGCTTCTATCAGAAGAAGATACAAAACCAAGAGCCACCTACCAAGAAGGTAAAGGTTATATACTACTAAAAATAACCAGTAGAATTGAGTACTGGGAATAGAGAAAACGGATGAAATCAAAAGGTAGTTCTCTAAAAGAGATTGGTGAATTTCTAGCCAGACTGCTCAAGGAAAAGGAATAGATGTACTTTACTAGTCATCTCTCAATGAGGTTGACAGTTAAGATTGAGCATCACAGCCACATTGGTGCATTTCTGTAATCCCTTTTACTCTAGTGGCAGAGACAGAAGTAGGAGGCCAGTTAGGAAAAACTTAGCCAGATCATATTTCAAAAACAACAAATGAATGGCTGGGGGCATGGCTTAGCTGTACAGCACCTAATTGTCATGTAAAAGATCCTGTTCAGTTCCCTGTACCAAGATGCAGTATTTCATCTCAGAGTACTTGGTATATATTGCTACTGCCAGATATGGTAGGTAGGTTTCATTAAGTAGACCATGAAGAGACATAACACGGTTATTCAGGCAAGAAAAGAAATTTATTTACCAAACTGGTGCCCCCTCCAATGCCTGGTGGGGAGACTTGGCCAAAAAGGAGAGACCCACCCCTGGGCCAGGACTTATCTAGGCTAGGGACAGGAAGAGGTATGGCCAGGTGGGGGAAAGGTGTGGCCACACTGGATCTGGATGGACCTCAGGGCCTGGGATCTGTGGTCAGTTGGAAGACCAGGGCGCCCCAGGATGTAACCTTGCAGGAGGGGAAGGTGACTGCTTCCAGGTGTGCCAGTTACCTACGTAACAGATACTGGGTGGAAACTGGGTGGAATAGCTTATGTTTGAAATTACTCATAAAATGGAGTGTATACAATAAAAAATGAAGTGAGAAGCAGAACAATTAATTCATTTATTTTTAAATGAGGCAAGAATTTAAAAATTTGTCCATAAAGGAAATATTTTAGGATTAGGTCAGAGGAATTCTGTTATTTTTTAACTAGCTTTGCACACATTTTATAAGCATAAAATTATACAAATACTGTGTGAGGCTTTGGACATATCATGCCTAAACTTTTCTTATTAATGTTGGTTACTTCATTCTTTTGGAATATCAGTAATATATAAAGTAGATACAGAGAAGTATAGAATGGTAAAATTGAACATTTATTATGGTATGTCAACCCCTGTGCAAGTGTTAAAATATAGTGTTCACATATAACAATAGTTTGTGGTTATTACTGTTGTACTTATAATCATTCTCATCTCTAATTGCATGTCAGTGCAACAGGTAAGTTTAATAGCAATAGCAAAGTAAATTGTTAGGTGGTTATTATTTCTTTATCATTAACATTGAAGTAAACTTGGATGCCCCTGGATTGTAGCATATGATTGACATAGAGACATCATGAACAGGAAGTGAGAAAATAGGAGAGTTTTATAAATTGTGATCTAGTCTTGCTACCTTTTAAGAAGAATAATTGGAATTAATAACTGGAAGAATAATTGGTCTTCCGGTGTCTGATTTTGAAGAGCTTTCATTAAGTGTCATTTGACATTTTTCTTTAAGCATCAGAGAACCAAGGAAAAAGATTATTGAGAAAGTAAGATTTCTGAGGTAAGAACTAAAAAGCAAGGGGATCCATATCTCTACTTGGTTAAGTGTAGAAGCTGCTGACCCCAGTAAACTTTATGAAGTATTTCGTTAAGAACCTAATGATGGGCAAGCACAGTTACAATCTTTAATGTTCATGTGTGAAATGGAACCAGATAATGTGAGGGGAAGGATAGGGTTGGGATGGAAGATGGGGAAAATGATGGGAAGGGTGATACTGATCGAGATACATTGTGACCTTAATCCCTGTGTGCAATTACTTGAAGATAATAAGATATAGTCCAATTTCTGAAAACCAGTTCCTTATCAAACACTGTTGATTTTGTATACCTTCTATTTTGGTATGACTTTTGTTGTCATATAGACCGACTCTGATGAAAACACTTCTAAGAATATGGTTTCACTCTACCCATTATAAAAAGTATTATCGTAGATGGAATTCAATTATAAGCCTCAATCAATTTTGTATTGAAATGAATTCCTTTAGGCACAAGTATTACAATAATAATTACTGACATTACATTGATGTTAATAACATAATTCAGCTATACATGAAAGTAATTGATGAACAGATTTGAGTTAGAAACCCAGTTTGTGAATTTTCTGTTTAGTCCACAGCACATTATTCAAATCTCTCCAAGGCTATTCTTTCATCTCTTAAATGAAGATAGAAACAGCCTTATGAGTAGTAGAGATTGTTTATAATATGCCTAACATATAGAACATGCTTACAAATTCTTATAGCCAGTATTTTATTTTATTTTGGTAACTACAAGCTAATATCAGTAAGTTTATTGTATTCTGTGGTTCAAAACTTTTCCTTATGGAATTGATGTTTTATAGTATCTTTTAATCTAGCGTACTAACAGTTGAGAAGTAGATAGCACAGCATTAAGAGCATGGAGTTGGATCAACTTGGATGTTATCTGCCCCGTGCATCACTTCCCTTGTCTTTAAAATGAATGTGAAACATTTCTTTCAGAAATGCTAAGAGATGTCTTTAAAAAGTTTAGAACAGTTGCTTACACTTAGTTTCGTGCATCAGTTTTGTCTCCTTTAATAATTGGTTAAATTATTCATCATTTTTTAGGTGAATCTTGGGAGCAACCAGTACCTTTTCTCTGTCATAGTGGATCCTAAAGAAATGCCCTGCTTCTGTTTGCGCCATGATGTCGATGCCCTTCTCTGGCAACCTCGCTCTGGCAAACAAGATGATATGTGGGAACACATAGCAACCTTCAATGCTCTAGGTACAAAATAGGCTCTTCACAGCATTTCCATTATGCCAAAAATTAGTCATCATTTTAAAGTTGATTTCTTTTTTCTTTTTAATTTGAGAAGTTCTAATCATATTCAGATTGGTTTGTTCTACAATTTGATTCTTTATAGTATAGTTAATGGGGTGAGTACTGTTATAACATCAGGACAAATTTGTTCCTATGTTTGTACAAAAGATCACAGAATAGAAATGAAAATGATTATCTATAATTTTTTTGTTTATTTTTGTCTGTCGTGAACTCAGACCCTGGGCTCTGTCCCTATGGTCTATTGCTCAAGGCCAGCTCTCTACCATTTTAAGCCATAGCTCCATTTTTGGTTTTTGAGTAGTTAATTGGAGATAAGAGTCTCACGGGGACTTTTCTGTCCCAGCTAGCTTTGAACCATGATCCTCAGATCAGCCTCTTGAGTGGCTAGGATTATAGGCATGAGCCACTGGTGCCCAGCTTGGTTATCTATAATTCTAATCAATTATTTGCTTATTTTAATTCTGTGAACTATACAGTGTTAGAAATGGGTCTTACAGTACCTTACATGGAATCTGAATTTAGATTTCTTCACAGTAATCTTCAAAAACATCATAGAACTGCTCTAAGGAGTCATCTTTCATTGAACATGAATGCGAAAGAGCCATTATAATGAATAAACTACAGAAAGTGGCAGTGAGTAGAAATTTGATAGAATAAAAGAGAAAATACTGGTTTTAAAATTTGGGCTTGTGTTAGCTGGGCGCCGGTGGCTCACCTGTTATCCTCGTTACTCAGGAGGCTGAGATCTGAGGATTGTGGTTCAAAGCCAGCCCGGGCAGGAAAGTCCTTGAGACTCTATCTCCAACAAACCACCAGAAAACTGGAAGCGGCACTGTGGCTCACGTAGTAGACTGCTAGCCTTGAGCTGAAGAGCTGAGGGACAGCGCTCAGGCCCAGAGTTCAAGCTCCATGACCGACCAAAAAAAAAAAAGAAAAAAGGAAAGAGAGAGAGAGAAAGAAAGACAGACATAGAATAGAGGGTAAGATCTAGATTCCACATGATTCTATTAAGTTCTGCCCTTGGGAAAAGCCATGCAACACTCTCCTTTCTTCAACAGGAATTTTGGGCTTGTGTAATCATTAACTTTATGTGTTTGTATTGTTTGGGAGAAACTTTTTACATGAACTAGCCACAGTTACTACTTAATTGAGAAGATATTTTAAACTAGTAGCAGGAAGTAAAATTATATATTTTAATGGCTACATGAACACAACCCTAGCTGTAGAGATTTGTCACTTATCCTTTATTAATAATATAATTCAGGGTTTTTTGGTTTTGTTTTTGTTTTGGTTCTGGTCCTGGGGCTTGAACTCAGGGCCTGGACAATGTCCCTGAGCTTTATTGCTCAAGGCTAGTACTCTACCACTTGAACCACAGCTCCACTTCTGGCATTTTTGGTAGTTAACTGGAAATAAGAGTTTCATGGACTTTATTACTCACGCTGGCTTCAAACCATGATCCTCAGATCTCCACCTCCTTAGTAGCTAGGATTACAGGCATGAGCCACTGACACCTGGTTTATGATTCCATTTTCAATGGATCATTGGCCTGAAATGCAAAGTTGCATTGACCTATTTTTCTAGCCTCTCTAATCTCTATTCTTTTAATTCATTCTTCCTTCAGTAAGTATAATGTTGGATAATGTAACTTCTTGGTGCTCAGATCCTCCATGTGTATGCACAAACCCTCATATTTCAGTGGACTTCTTCTTTTCTTTTCTTTTCTTTTTTTGGTACTGGGGATCAAACTCAGGATGTTGCACTTGCTAGGCAAGCAATTGCCACTGAGCTACATCCCAGCCCTCAGTGGACTTCTACTAAGCTTGAGACTTAAATCAACTTTATATTACCAATGGACATAATATCTCACACAAGTACATATGCAAACAGGTATCAACATCTCTATTACTCTTCTTTCCTCAAACCCCAATTAACATTTAGTATTAACATTTCATATTATTTTCTCATGTGCTCCATAGCTTTGCCCATTTATTATTTGATGGGAGCTCAATTTTCACTGGTGGTCCCTTTTTTTATATCACATGTCATAGCATTCAGTAATCATGTCCCACTCTGAAAATCCTAATGTATTTCACAAGTGACAATTTTAAAATATGCGTATGATTTAAGATAAATTGCAGTTTAAGGCTTTGTTTAAAGCACAAAACCCTATCTGAAAAACAACCTAGAATCAAAAGAACTAGGTGTGTGACTAAAAAGCCCAGCAGGGATAAGATGGAGTTTGTTTTCCACTACTGCTAAAACAGAAAACTTACAAACATTACAGGCTTGCTGAGAGAACTCACTATGAATACCTTTAGAGATAGTGTTTCAGACCTTCATCATAAGCACAAATAATGTTACATTTAATATAGTAAATATGAGATAATTTTGGTCATATCCTATGACCATTTCCTCATCTGTCTCTCATGAGAGGAAACATTCTGTGATGCTCTTGTTACTCATCCACCTACATATTAAATTGGGATTTAAGGATCTTTTGACATGTATTTTTAGTCTTTTAGATTTCAGAATTTTAGTATTTTAATTATTTGTGGAAATTAAATGTAACTATCTTGTACATTTCTTAAAGAGACAAAGCTTGTTTTGTTCCTATATTAACATGTAGTGTAGCATCAATTGAAAGAAACAGATTATGAGTAATCATTAATGGTTCTGAAGTCAACCATCATTGAGTGTTTATGGTATACATGTTTATATTTTACTGAGGATTTTAATTCTTATAGAAATTAGGAAGTTATAATCAAAGTTATGAAATATGAAATATTAAATCATGTTTTCTCATATGTAAATTATAGTTCTTCTTTTGTTTATATTATATTTTTGGCAGGTTACGTGCAAGCATCAAAGAGAGACAAAAAATTTTTTGCCTGTGCTCCAAATTACTCCTATGCTGCCCTTTGTGAGTGCCTTCGCCGAGTGTTCATCTATCGCCAGCCTGCTCCCATGTCTACTGTGCTCTACAACAGAAAGGAAGGCAGGCATGTAGGGCAGGTTGCTAAGCAGCAAGTAGCAAGCCTAGAGACCAATGATCCTATTTTAGGCTTTCAGGCAACAAATGAGAGATTATTCGTTCTCACGACCAAAAACCTCTTTTTAATAAAAGTAAATGCAGAGAATTAACTTCTTCAACATGTTAGCAGGCTATAATAGAAAGCATTCATTGGTACCTAGAGGATTAAGCAGTTGTACTGTGTAACTTGTTACGTTTTCATGTGTTAAATAAAAATATCTTGAATGAATTTTTATTTTTTAAATGATATTAGAAATATAGTTAAAAGATTATGATTCTGTAAAAGCTGTAAAATGAAGCTACAGATTTGGGAAATATTGGCTTCTATAAAAAGCATAAAGATAGTATTGGCTGGTATAATTGTTTTTAAAATACAGAGGCTAGAATCTTTTATATGAAACATGTACAGTTTAGTGTTTAAAAATAAAAATATTTATCATATACTTAATATATTTGTTCATTGATTATATTGTTATAGTCTATCGTCTATCCCTATAGAACAGGTTAGGTGATAATTAAAATGTTCAATATTATAAATTCTAAAGTTAACAGAATAATTTAGTCTACATAAAGGAGGATTTGCAAGAGTATAGCAGGCCAGCATTTACTGAAAACCAGTAATTGCTTTTCAAATTAATTGTAGCTTTATTTGATTTTTTAAAATCTTTTCTGCCACAAATATGATAAGGTTATACATAGAAACTATTTGGTCCTAAGATACCTTTTGCCTATTTGGGCAGATATTTGACTGAACCAGTATTTGATTAGAAAATTCAGTTTCTGACTGAATGTAAATTTAATTTTGATGGAATTTAATATTAAAACACCTGAGGGTTTAGGTCCTAAAACAGCAAAAATAACTAGTTTTAGAAAAGAAGGACAACAGTCTTGAGGGACAAGAAAAAGAAAAACAAGGATTTTGCATGCTCAGAACCCTGTGGTAGGGCTAAGGATGTAACGCAGCGTTACAGCAGTAGAACACTTGCCTGGATGCACAGAGACATGGGTACAGTCCCCAGGAATGCAATAAGTAAGAAACTATGTCAGTATCTTGAAATGTATATGGCCTAAAAATAATACGGATTTCCCCTTCATTTAGAGTAAAAGACTTGTAATTTAGGTTCATTATTGAATGATCCCATAAATTTACTTTTATTTTCCCTTCCCAGTGGCAAAGAAATTCTTTTTAACTTTGTCACAGAACAGTCGTGTAGTTAAATGTATGTAGAATTTTTTTCCTACACACCAAACAAGCACTTAATTTTTCAACCAACACCAGTGGGGCACCTTAAAGTGCAGTCTTAAGTCCAGTTCCTACAACTATCAGCAGCAGGACTGGGAAATTTCTACTGAGCCAGACTAAGAATGTTTTACTACATTGGTAATTTGGAGAAGAAAAGTACAAGTTTTCCCTGTGGAGTTGGAATGTCCTTACTTTGTCTTAGTGTCCATGTGTTTTTGCTCACTTTCTTGGAAGCTGCCATGTGTTTGACTATCTGAAATCTCTCTAGACTCTCTTTCTCTGGATTTGTATAGAGAATTTATTACATAAGGACCAGCAATTTTCCTCTTAGGTTTATACCCAAGAAAAGTAAAAGCCTGCACATAAATATTTGTAGTAGCCTTATGGCTAATATAACTAGAATGTATAAATAACTTGAATACCCATGATTAATGAATAAATAAATTGTGGCATCCTCAGCATGGATGAACCTTGAAAACAACATGCTAAATTAAGCCAGTCTCACTGGGCCATATAAAGTAGGAGTCTATCTTAATGAAAAGGTGTAGCAGGTAACAGACAAAGTCTTAGCTAAGAGCTGAGAGGAAATGGGAGATGATTGAAACTGATTGGCTTGATAAATTTACAATGCCATGATTGTACTAAAACACACTTAAATTATACATAGTTGGATTGTGAAATATGTAGATTATATTTTAAGAAAGCCCTATAGAAATATGCTAAGTATGCACTCATTTATTTTTAAAAAACATTAGAGATACTTTTGCTTTCAGTTTGTTTAAATAGCCTATTTTAAAAATCATCTTTAGTTGTATAAAGGAGTTGCCATTTAACTAAGCTGTCCATGAATACAATGCATCTTGATCAGTTTAACTCCTCTCACCATTCTCATCCCTCCACTAGCTCACCCTGTCCCTTACTTTTCTTAATTTTGTAGTACATACAGTGAATTCTTGGAGAGGAGGCTCAGGTGATAGAGCACTAGCCAATGAACAGAAGTGTTAAATAGCTTATTTTTAGGAAATTTGAATTTTTAAGGTCACATTGTTCAAATAGTTTTATTGAGGGGAGCTGATCAAATGAGATGGTTGGCAGTACTCTTGCTGAAACCTCTTAAATAGATATTTTTTTCCCTGTAAAATTATTTAAACAAAATCATCTTTCTTGTTTTTGTTTACTTGCCATTTTCTACTGATGTGAACTTAGAGAAAGTGATCAGCATTTTTGTTCTTGGTAATATAGAGTCATTGAAAACTGCCGAGTACTCTACATTTCTTGTTTCGAAGCAGTCTCCAAAATTGATGTTAAATGTATTCTTTTAAGTGTGCTGTTAAGTGGTTTCTAGCTAATGAGAACAGCCTTTGCTAACATTTCGAAGTCTAGTTGAATATCACTGCAGTTGGCCTAGGAGAATCACCTCCAATTGTGTATGAGGATATGGGGCTGGATAGGGCCTTGGGACAGGGAGAAAGCTTTAGCGGAAATACTGACATTTTAATATAGAACTCATTTTCTTTCTCTGCCTTTCTTTCCTTCTTTCTTTCTTCCTTCCTTCCTTTTTCTTTCTTTCTTTCTTTCTTTCTTTCTTCCTTTCTTTCTTTCTTTCTCTTTCTTTCTTTCTTTCCTTTCCCTTCCTTCCTTCCTTCCTTCTCTCTCTCTCTCTCTCTCTTTCTTTCTTTCTTGCCTTTTCTCTGCCTTTGCTTGTTCCCATTTGCTCTCCTACCTATCATGTTTCCTCTGTGTTGTTCTCCTTTCATCTCTTCCACAACCCCACTTTAGGCAAAATTTCCCTTAGTCCAAACACCCATCCACCATAAACCTGGTTGGAAATGGCAAAGATCTCATCACTAATAGAAAAATAGTGAAATATCCATTTGTCTGCTGATAAAATAACATTGCTTCCTTAATACATTAAAAAGAGATTTATTTGTTTATACCTTTGTATCAACATCATGACAAAAAAAAGCTAGGAAATAAATATTTCTCTTACTGTAGGTGAAGATCTTAGATGATGAGAGATGCTTGGCTTCTCAGCAGAGTATAAAAAAGTGGTTTGAAAGAGGTTGAGATCAAAAGGATAGGTCTCATAGTTAACCCAGTCAGCTTTGTGTACCATTCTTCTACTACATGCTGGAGGAAACTATGCTTCTTTCTGTTGTAAATGATTATAGACATTGTGTGTGTGTAACAGGACTGGGGAAATAACTGATCTTTTATTACTTGCTAGAATTATTTCTTTTAGAAAAGTCTTATGCCTTTTAGTATAAACAGCAATGAGTCTCTACAAATACAACAGTTTTTTTTCTTTTGTAAATAACAAATAAGCATAGTATCTTAGGAACTTGCCTTTGTTGTAGACCTGCAGGGAGGTGGGTTTTTTGTTGTTGTTGTTTTGTTTTTTCAGCTGAGTTCCTAGCACTCAGCAAATACTGTTTGGTGGTTTTCTATTTGTTTGGCCTTTTTTTCCCCTGCAGTGTTGAGGATTGAACACAAGGGCTTGCTCCCTCTAATTAAGTGCTCTCTGCCTTTGAGTCACAACCTCAGACAATAAATGATAGAATTACTACTTTTATTCCATTTAAGTCTTAAAAAGTGACACTTTTCAGAGGTTCAGATACAAGAAGAAAAATTTAATTCTGTGAGATTCTGAGCTCCTTTTGGTTAGGAAAGGTTTTTCATCTTCGAATCTACAGATACTAACATACAGTAGATGTTCCATAAACATTTGATAAATAATAGTGTCACTGGAAAAAATATAAGCACAGAAGCAGGAAGTTGTGAGAAAGTATGTGAATCAGCTACTATCTCTGTTGGGCTAGAACAGCATTTCTTAGCCTCATCAATCCTGAGATGAGATGTTGACTTGGATAATTCCTGGTTGAGAGGCATCATCCTGGATGGATCTGTTTTATAAGGTATTTAGCAGCATCAGTACCATGTTTCTTCCATTGTTAAAACCAGATACCTTCAGATGTTGCTAATATCTTGGAGTAAATCACTGATAGCTGAAAACCATTGTGATAGAATGTTGTGGTTGTAAGAAGAGTAAAGGTTGAAACAGTAGGTTGTGCGTAAATGGGGTAAGGCCTTAGGTGGCAGTTTAAAATTTTAAGATTTTACTTTGAAGATAGGCAACTGTAAGAAGTTTGGAAGTAGGAAGTAATGATAATGAAATGGTACTCAGAAGGATTCGTCTAAACGGGAAGTACAGCTCGGTGGTAGAACTCTTGCCTAACATTTGTGGAGTGCTGGATTTGAGTCCCAGCATTGGATAAAATCAGTTTGAAAGGTTATTTCTGTAAAGTATACGGACAATAGAGAAAATGAAGTCATGATACCAGCCACAGCAATGCACTTGACAAAAAACAGCTGGAATAATGACTGGTGGTCAAAAAGAGGACCAGCAGACATTAGAGAATGAGGACAAGGAAGGAAGAAAATGGGGTGCAAACTTCTCTTGGATCCTACATTCCGAACGAGGAAGATGTAGAAGGAATACATTGTTCTTAATTGAAGTCATTCTGTGTTGGAAAATTCAGTCATTTACAGTTCTTTGAAAACTTCACATTATGGAAAGAGAAGAACCCTCCTTTCAAATTGAAATGTAAAATCCCTTGGGACCTTGAAACAGAAGATAGATAAATATATCTTAAATTTACAATTATTTAATGGCAGGTTAAAATGTTTGTAAATTATATAGGAGATAGCACTTAAGCTTTTTATTTCTTGAAGATAATAACATCAACTAATATATACGTAGCATCCACTATGTACAGCCACTATTGGGGCACTTTATGTGTTACTTCTATTTTCATACAAACCCTATTTGTAGAAAAGAAAACCGACACAGAGTGAGTAAGCAACCTGAGTTGAACAGGGAGTGGCAGGGCTTGGGTTTGAATCCATACAGTCTGGACTGTTGGACTCTTCTGAGATCCCAGCCACCATTTAGATCTGCTTTTCCCACACAGTAACTTACTCACTTCATTGCTGAGAATCACATGTCTATGAGTATGCTAGACAAGCATTGAGCTATGTTCCCAGTCCATGTCTACATTTTGAGGATTGTGATGATGATTTAAATCATGCACGTCCCAAGTCTCAAGAATAGCAAGTAGATACAGCTGGGGCAAAAATGGATTTCTCATTCACTGCTTCTATTTTGCTACTTTGCTAACTTTTACTGCAGTGATTAGTATCTTCAGGGACAAAGATTTTGGGAAAGGTGTAATTAAAAATTTCAGATTAAAGGGAAAACTTGGTTTATGATTTTAGACACTCATGATTTCACCCTATGCTTCGTGGGATAGGGTGCAATGATCACCACTGAGCTATCCATATCGCTGTTTGTGAGTCCCTTTCTAATGAATGCTTTTTAAAATGACTTTCTTTGTGACCTGAGTGACTACAGCTGTGGGATAGCCTAAAAGGGTTATTAG